AAGCGTGACAAACTTGGAGATGGGATCTTCATACATCTATATACTTTAAATTAAAATACGTAACGATCACTCGCATAACACGGGCACGATGCGGTTTCCGCCGATCATTAAATGCAACAGCACAGCACCGATGCGGACGGCCGCTCCCGTATAATACAGAGTGGACGGCCCGTTTTTGCTCCATTTTGCTCCCGCGATACTTTCGTACCACACGCATCACGTTTGCACATGCAACCTGCGAGCGAACCTCGCTGGAGCTTCGAAAACAAGCGCTCTCCCTTGCTATTTATCTTGGCTGTGACACGGAAGCATCTAACCCTTTGGGATCTTTGGGTATTTTTAAGTTCGATAAACAAGTATACACGAGAGTAGAGGAGAAACAAAATTGTTTTTCTCTACGTTCTTTTCTCTCTGTCAATGACAAGCGATAAATACTTTGTCCTTTGATTTTAAATAACGAGCCTGAAATAAATCGAGATTTATTATCATGTGTGTGTATGTGTGTGTGTGTGTGTGTGTGTGTGTGTGTGTGTGTGTGTGTATGTGTGTAAAGTTTAAACGTATGCATAAATTTTACGTTCCTATAAATTGTAAAAACCATAGTAGTATTTATAAACTCGATTTTTTAATTATATTTACATTGAAGGAACAGTTTTGCTAAAGTATATAAAAATTTAGCTATATAGATACAGATTTGAAAATAATTGTGTTAGACTATCAAAATAATTATATATAATAGGACGCTCAAATTAGTATTAAAATAACAAAACTTTTTGCAGTATTGCTCATTATGCTATATTATTTTGACAGTCCAACAAAACTATTTTAAATCTGTATCTAATTAAATTTTTAGATACTTCAGTAAACTTGTTCTTCCTATATAAATATGGATCTGTTCTTTCGTTTTGCTTAGAATTGAATGAGCAAAGTGAAACGCACTCTGTGGATCGATCTTGGATTTTGCGGATGCGCGATCAATCGACCACTTGCTAATTCGCGTCACGATCGGTAGAATTTGCGATCAGAATTTGCGGCGCCACTCCAATTCGCGGGCAAACACCCGCCACAGGCATTCAGGATCTTCGGGTTTTTTGTCGGATGTTATTTCGGCTGTCGGTTTGAACAGTACAAAATTGGATATTATTGGATGCGATATTCGTGAGAGCGCCTCACGTGAGATTAGAGATATCTAATTGCGAATTCGCCGCGGAACGCGATTCATAGTGCGTTTTGCAAATCGTATCAGATGAGAATGCAAAATGATGCGTCTGACACGAACGATGCAATCATTGATCGTTATCGTTACATAGATGGAAAGAAAACATTAATAGCGTTCGGTTTTTTTTTATTAAGGGATAGTCTGTGATACAGACTATCCCTAATAAAAATTTCCTGATTATCGAAATAATTAACTCTTCGAAACTGACACCAAAATTTGTAAGTTACTGGTGCTGGATCTGTAAGATCTATTTAATTAAGGAGATTCTAAAATCGTCTGTTTTATATCGATTCAATAAGATTATATACTTATACGGTTTACGTGTCATTGACACATCATTACATACTACTACATCAATATCGCACGCACACATACGTACAAATTTTCTTAGTAACTAATCTTTCATATCAGGTATCTAAGTCTAATTCTAAGAACTCATTGTTTCTTTATGTAATTTCTAATCAAGATTGTTTTATATGTACAAAATACAATATATATTTAAAGTTTTTGAAAAGTTGGAAATTTGACAACAACGTATAATTATAAAAAAACACTTTACATAACTTTTTGTTTGACTTTTAGACGCCTATTTGATTTGGCGAAATTATATTGTAGATATCTTAAATAATCCATAATACCAAAAATATATATTTCATAACACCGAAGAGACAACATATTGTTTTATTCTTATCGCATTGTCTCTAATTTTAACCGACTTTCTGCGCCAGAAACACTTTTAATTTTTGACTGAAGAATTTTTGTTTTTACATCAAAGGACTAAATTCATTTTCATATTATATTCTCCAATTTACATTATATCAAAGGACATTAGGACATTACAAGCTAATCAATTATTGATTGCAATTATCTGACATTATTTAGTTATCGTTTTTATGTTGCCAGCGTTTGTTTGTTAGAGAGAGCGAAGTATATATTATGTTTTGTTTTTACCGTTTGTAATATTATATGTTTTAACATTGATAATGATCCGGTCGCGATCGAAACGTTTGTTTGTTTATTGCTAGCACATTGCATATTAAATCTTAACTAAAGGATATAATTTCTTTACTTACGTTCCAACTTCTACATTAACGATGTTAATTTTATAAAATAATTTTTTGGCTTGTAGCCCTTTTTCTTTACAGTTTTTTAAAATTTTATCAGCCTTATTACTAATAGACATTTTAAATAATCCATATATATATAAAATTCGCGATTCATGCATTTCTGAAATAAAGATCCTTTAAGAAGACCCTTCTAAGAGAAATATCTTCTATTTCCTCACATTATTTAGCCACACGTTACAATTCTTTTCAATAGATGTGAATCGCACTCGAATAATCTTCAAAATAAAAATGCCTTAATATCGCTAAGTAATCACGCTTAAACCTATCCTCGCAACCATCGAGAGGGCGCGTCATTAAGAGAAAGAGAAAGAGAAAGAGAAAGAGAGGAAGGGCGTTCTCGCACAATCACGACAATCGATCCGCCGAATTTCAATAAAGGGCACCGGGTCTTCGCTGGGCGAAGGGACGACTGTGCGGCGTGGGCGGCCCTGTGACCTTGAACAGGACGTGCCTGTCGTGGTGCGCACGCGCGCTCGCCCGCAGGGTTCGATCATCCTTCGTCGCCGGGGGCCCTTCGCCACACCGCACCGGCTGGCTTGGAAAGTCGCTTTTCACTTTCACGTCCCTTTCCCTGTCCCTTCGTTCGCCCGCCTGCGTCCCGTTCCACGCAGCGCGCTTTTACGATAAGAACGAGTGCCAGGTCCGCTTGTATAAGAACCTTCATGGCAGGTTGCAGGGAAGTGCAATTGATAGATCCTTGGCTTGAAAAATGAGAAGACAAAATAATGCACGCAAACGTTCGAAAAGGTATCAACGTTAACGCTCGATCGAGTATACAAGTTTGATCAAAGGATCTTCTCGTGTCTCCCTTTCTTTGAGGGCATTCTCAAAATTCGGATTTAAATTGCCTCGTTAGCCGGTCTTCGCTTTCTTCCACCTAACTGACCGGAAAATTAAAACTCTCGGATCACTCGAAAATGTTCATTGGATATATTTGCTTAACAATGTAACATAACATCACTTATTTTTATGTTTTATTCACGCACGCTGTATTATTATTTTATTATATGTATTATGTAATAATAACAAAATATTATACATATTGAACAATGTGCATGTAGATTTTAAAAATAATTTAAAACGTGAATGCGAAGAATAACAAATGTGTTGCATTATATTTACTTTTCTTAATACAATGAATTTTTTTATCTATGGTAGGAACTAATGAAAAATATGATTTAAAGATAGCTAGAGTATCTTTAAGTAGGATTATATAATTAACTAAAAGCATTGTGAAGCCTTTGTATCCTTTGTGCAAAGAAGGGATTAAAGAGGGATGGGATGTTCTGAAGAAAATGAGTCATTCTTAGACTTCTTTATTTTTTAAATATAATTAGATATGATTCTTTTATTAATCATCAAACATCTGGGATGGCTTTGATCTTGATTACATTAATTAAGTTTTCAAGCAGGTTTTTGATATATATACTTCTCATTGTTGTTCTTTACAATGAATGATATATCGTAAAGAACATCTTTAAAAATATTATAAAGATTTATATTTGTCTCGACAATGGCAGAATTGCGTCTGACACGAATGAGTTTTATAAGAAGGATCGAAACACTTCAAAAATAGAATACTGAGTCAATTCTATTGATGCACGTAATAGAGTTAATGTATATATATTCTCTCGTTACGCGATCGTGCCGTATTGTCTATTTAATAGCAATCTTTGTATGTGAGCGATTATAGACAAGTGTTTGATCCTTTATCGCAACTGGTCTTAGATAAGAATGAGCCTCAGTTGGTAGATTGATTATGATTCGACAGTAATTCTTCATTAATCGCTTGGATCGTATTATATTAGATAACCGATTAAGGAAGTGTCAACGTTCATGTCAGATAAAAGTGGACAATATTTTTTTTTCCAAGTGCATTCTCATTTTTTGATAAATTATAATGTTTCTTCCTATCATCTAGATATTCTGATAATAAATGTTGCAAAACAACTACTCTATAATTTTTCTTGTACTAGTATTAAAATTCATTATATGTAAAATCATATATATAATAAATATAATAAATATAATAAATATAATAAATATAATAAACGGTATTATAAATGTTTGAGGAGAGGTATCTTTTAATCGACGCTGACAAAGTGTCGTTTTCATTAATTTGAATCAATTAAATCAGCAATCATTTCTTGATTACTTTTTATAATATCGAGACACTTGAAAAAAATATTTTTTTTTATAGTCGATATATGTATATCTTGCTTTATGAATTTTGAAGCAAAATTTGTCTTTGTTTTTGAGATTTATTTGTTTAATGACGCGTGGGTTTGATTGAACACATTATCAACCTCCGCCAGCCATGCGTGCCACGTTAACTATAAAATTCATGTCAACGCTCGCTCTCGTTGCTCGATCAATATCCGTTGCGAAGCGGTTTTCTCGCGCGCGCCCGCCGCTGTTTCGTTAAACAAATAATTCGCGAAAAAAACGCAAGCTACAGCGAAAAGCTCGCATGGAAACGAATCGAATTTTCATCGTCGAAGCTGTCGTGCGTGAAGTTATCACGAAGAATCGATTTGTCTTATCGTCATGATAAACCGAAAAATTGATTTCAATTTAAAAAATGGATACCACGGCTTTGTAGAAAAATTGACAGGATGACATAACGGATTCTGAACCAGATTTCATTCGAAGATCTCAGCGTGGGAACGAGAGATCCTTCAGATCGTGTTATACAATTCAAAACGAGATTTTATTCGCAATTGAATCTGTGCGTAAGGGTATATTCAAAAGAATATCGAAGCAATGTCAATCTTTTTTTTATAAGAAACTTGTCTGGAAAATTTAGCCGTCGTTGAAGAACTGAGTGCAAAGGAAGAATAGTTTCGAAATTTATTTTTCGAGATTTCAACTTATCCTTTTTACTATGAAATTCCGGTTAAATCCGTGCGACAAAATGAAAACTGCTCCAGTTTTTCCAGGACGTCTTCTAGAAGAGGCTACAGAGACAAAGACTTTCGGAGCACGTCAGAAAATGCGCGACTGAGTTCCCCTTAAAGCACGCCCCGTGCATGCGTCTCAAACACAACGTGCTCGCACAGTCAAGCATCTTATTTTCAACATTCCAGAAGCGATTCCATCGACTTCTTGCTCCGGCTCAATCAGACACGATCATCGAGTAGCGAGGAGTTTTTTGGTGCTCCGAGAGCCCGCCGCCATTCCGAAATCATTTCGTCAGAAGCGATCAATGAGGAATAACTAATATCTTGGAAAAACTATCGTTCAAAATTCACCAAATTACTTTCGTTTACTATTTTCTCTGATTAGCAGACTAATTCAGTGAAGATATGGTAAATGAAAATAATTTATTTGATAGAGATAAGACAAGTTTCTTATCTTGTCTAAATTTGATCAAACCAATCTGTCATCTTTGAATCTTCATTAAATCTGTGCGATCGTTGAGTGATCGTTGAGAATCGAATCTTAATCTAAACCGAAACTTTGTTATTCATGTAATTCTCATCATCACCGAGGTCAACCCGTTGATTCCTAACACTAGGATCATTTGGTAAATCACAACGATTCGATGCTGAAAGGCTCCTTAGAATTATATCGTAGATTTTGAAGCGAGAGTCCGGGTGATTCCCGATGAGTGCATATTCTCGTTCGTCCAGCTCGGTCGATCCGCTCGTCGCCTAGGAATGTTCGGCAGGAAATTTCCATTCCCGGCGGTTCGATCGGACCGAAACGAATGGCTCGGGGCCCCGGCGTCGTTCCGGCACGAGTCTGTTCAGCGTAAAGGCCACGGGAAGAACCGACAAATGTCGGAGATTGCCGAAGCACCGTTGCGCTGAACCACGAGCTACCCTCGGCAGCAGCTCGCGGCTGGCTATGGCTATTGACCGAGCTTGGCGGACCGGCCGGTCAGCTGTGCGCCTCGCCGGCGGTGTGGTATTCTCCTCCGCGGCCAGGAAGAAGCCGTCCACGTAGACGAGGCGGTGTGTCGTTCAGGTCGGTGTAGATCAGCCGGTGTGAGTCAATAACGGGGAACCGAAATACGAACGAACATCCGTCCAGAGTTAGTTGAAAGGAGAGCTAGCGAGGACTCCCTCAGGAGAGGAGTCCAGCGGCGACGGAAGTGCTTGAAAGACTCGGTCTCCGGGCGTTGTAGACGATCGCATAGAGACAGTCCCCCGGAGAGCCACGCGTTCGTACATATGTCCGCGAGTGGAATCGAGGAGAAAGAGAGACTGACTGCTCCGGTCTTGTCGTTGTCGTCATCATTGATGGATCGGTCCGAGTGAAAGCCCAAAACGTGCGAATCGCTGGCTACACGCGCTGCGGCAAGTAAAGACAGTTGGAGTAGGAGAGTGAACTCCAGACGGAGCGGGGGTTAAAGAAGACTAGAGAGAGAGAGAGAGAGAGAGAGAGAGAGAGAGAGAAAAAGAGAAATGTACTGAGAGAGGAAAAAGAGAGAAAGAAAGAGTGAGAGCGAGGGAGGGAAGGAGGAACTTGGCTCACGGGCAATACTCGACATGTAGAGACCGACCGGCTGTGCACGGCCAGTGCGGAGAGGATCGCGCGAGAGAGGACCTGAGAGAGGAAGAGAAAGAGAGAGAAAAAGAGAGAGAACAAGAGAACGGGCAACGAACGATCCCGAGAGAGACCGGGGAAGAGGTTGGTGGGAGGAGAAACTGAAGGAGAGAGAGTGAAAGAGACAGATCGACCGAGTGTAGGAGAGACACCGAATGAAACAGAGCGAGAGAGAAAGAGAGAGCAAAGGATAGACAAATAGATAGGTGTCGTGTACGTATGCGTTACGAGTGACGAGTGCAGGTGTGTGCGCGTGTTGCAGGCAGGCCACCGGCACAAAAAGTGCTGGGCCCAGTGGACTTTTCCATACCGGAGGAGAACTGCGTGCATACGTACGCACGTACGTACGTGCGTACATCGTGCGTGCGTACCGTCCGCGCGCGTGTCTGTGTGCACGAGAGTGCGCGCGCCGCCTTCGCGATCGCGGACGGACACGCCGGCGAGTTTTCGGCCGAGTACCTGCGAACGAGGACGGACGGAGACCGATCGACCGACCGACCGATCGACCGACCGACTCTCCTCTCTTTTCTTCTCTTCTCGTGGTCTACACGGTGACCTCCGCTAAGACAGAAGAAACAGGCTAAAGCCAGGTAAAGCCGCACCGACCGGTAGCCAACTCGATTTCGTAGAGTGCGCGCGTCAGGTGCGAGAAGAAGAGAAGGAGAAAGAAAGAGAAAAAGAAGGAGAGAGTTGGATGGTGAAAGAGAGAAAGAGAAAGAGAGAGAGAGAGAGAGAGAGAGAAAGAGAGAGACCAGGAGGTTGGACGTCGCAGCGCTGACGTCGAGAGGATACCTTACGTGGACGGCTTTACCGGGTGGAAGCGACCGCGGAATCGTCGACAGCGAGAAGAGGAGGTAATAGGATCGTCCGTCACTGAGGTCTACCTTGCCGGCCGAGAGAGAGAGGGAAAGAGCGAGCCAACTTGGTACACACGAACTCCGTTCCGACTCTGACTCCTCCGTCGCTACTAACTCGCGGTCGGTAAAGCGTCGAGACGACGGCAGTGGTGATCCGGCGAGATACGAACGGCTGGCAGTCGCGGCCTTCTGGTGGACGTGATAAGGACGAGTGGTGTGATCCGTTCCGGACGAAGTGGTCGGTTGTGCGAAGCGCGAGAAAAAGCTGCGAAGGGACGGACAGAAAGAAAGGAAACGGATCAACGGCTTCTCGATCGAACAATTTGGTGCTGCATTTAGTGCTACTCCAATTGTACCGATATTCAGAAGACCAAAGGAACTTGAGAAGATCTAGGAAGTGAGATATTAAAGGAAACAAAATCCCTGCGGAGGAGAAAGCGAACGTAAAGCAACAACGAGAGAAGACACGAGTCCTTGATCAACAATCCGGTACTACGTGGACTTAATCACGAACGACGGTGCGGGGAAGGCAGAAGATAGCCAAAAGGAAGAAAGGAAGTAGCCGGAGTGTCCTTGATGGGCCATCCGGTGGTACGTGATCGAGCTGTGTCGCGACCGACATTGACTCGGCTTCGTCGTATCGAGGGAGATTAGAGGCGACCCACGTTTTACTCGCTTCGTTCGGCAGACAACGAACGCCGGCGAAGCGACGGGAGCAACGAAGGAGAGTTGCGAGGGGAGAGTGAGGAGAGGAGAGGAGAGGATCTACTTGCTGATCAGCGCGAACCCCGGGCGATAAGCGGCTCCCGTCTCGAGTTGATGAGCCGCTGACTCGGCGGACACGGGAGCCGGTTGTTTCAAAGCTATTAGTGCCCACGATGATTCCAATTATCTGCGAGTGACTTCCACGTTCGCGCACGACGATCTGTCTACCGCCCTATCCAGTCGTTTTGCGATCACTTGGCACGCTCCGTGCCGGTTTCCTTAACGGAAACGAGGACTCTCTCCGACTTCCACGTGTACATTTTGAGAACTGCCGATTCTGGATCCTTGCGAGTGGATAGAGTGATCGGCATCGGTTTCAGAAATCGACTGGAAATGTGCGATCGCACGCATCGTGGATCCACCTGGAGTCTCAACTTGATCTACCATTATTAATTGCTTCGAGGATAATCTGGCAGCATCGTTCCATCGGATTAATCCGTTCGGGACGAATTTCCAGATAAACGGACGGGTGATCGCCTTCCATTCCATCCGGGATTACTCCGGGATCGCGCTCGATAAGCCACGAGGATTCCCGTACGCTCGCGCTCGCGCGAGGCTACGCTTGAAAATCGCTCGGTGTCGTTGCTTGACAAAACCGGTTTCGTTCGGCTCAGCGAATCTCGGCGTTTATACAAAGGTCGTGTGTGAGAGCGCGCCGCGCGCGCGACTGCGGGAGAGTATGTGGTAGGAGTGAGATTTATGGAAAACGAATTTACACGAGGTCACACCCACGGGAGCGGCTGTCTATCTCTCTCTCTTTTTTTCTTGTATCTTCGTTTCTCTTTCTCTCTCTCTCTCTCTCTCTCTCTCCCCCTTGTCTGTCTCCTTGTAACTCGCACTCTCTCCCCCAGTTTGTCTATCAGTTTATTCACGCATTCCCTCTATTAATAATAACGATGGAGCCGATACAACCGAGAATCGCCGACCAGATCACGTTGAAGAATCCTTGAAGGAACGAGATCTCGATCGCAAGAGAGTGATATCGTTCTGATATCGACTAACCGAATAAATATGCCACATTCGCGGCGGCCTTGAAGAATTTTCTTCGGGCCGACAGTCACTGTGCGCAGGATCAGCGAACCTGAGATAACGCCGGCAACGAAGCACAAGGGAATTCATAGGGCGGCTCATCATGCTAGCGACCTTGAGTATCCAAGTGTCTCCGATGATTAAGAATCGCGATCGATTGAATACGTAACTATTGGACGGCGAATCTCAAAGACTTCGAAGGATGTCGGGGGACTTGAGTGGCCCACGGGAGGAGCAGGACTCGTCGCCTGGGTCGAATAGCAGCAACGCGTCAGTTGCGAGGAAATCATCGGCGAGGAAAATTTAGCTGTCTTGCCACGAGCACTTGCTTGATGATCGGTCACGGCAACGATGAAGCGTGCGACGAGCGCATCCGTTGCGGCCGCCACGGCCGCCGCGACGCAAGTGCATCACCAGGCGAGGATCCAGGAGTTGTTCTCTCCCGGATCAATGCCGACGGCGACGGCGATGACGACGTCGACGACGACAATGACGACGACGACGACGTCGACGAACACGAATACGACGATCGGTACCTGCACAGACGAGCTGGATAAGCAAATCACAACGATGTCCTCCCGGCTCGAATCAAAAGGCTCACCGAAGATTAGTCCTGGAACGGGCGACGACAACAAGGCTAAGTCTACAGTAATGTCGCGATTATTAGCCGTCGATTCCGACAACTACATGCTGCGCAAGGCCGCCACATCGGCGACGACGGCAGCTACCAACGGCGCCGTGGCGCCGTCGTCTACCACCTCATCATCGTCGTCATCGTCGAATGGTTCCGCGAGCATGCAACTGCAACGGCAGATGCAGAGTCTCGCCATCGGATCGACTACCGCGCCGTCGATCCTCGCAACGTATGGCAACGGTAGTGATCACGTTGTCGGTCAGCTGTACGATGTCACGCGGGCAACGTCCAGATCGGCAGCGACGTACGTGTCACCCAGGTGGTACACCACCAGTAATAATAATCAGGCGACGAGGCAGCATCGAGAAGGAACTGCGGCAGCAGCGGTGGCGGCAGCGACTGCGACCGCGCAACTCGAGGAGCAATCCTTGCAGCAGTTGCAGCTGCAATCGCGTACGGCGACGTCGACGCGCGACGACGCGACGACGCCCGCGGCGTCGACGGTAGACGGTGTCGAGAGCGAGCTCGGTTTCACGAGGCCGGTGTGCGCGAGACCGGTGTCTTTTCATCGATACATGTGTTGGTGTAGCGCGCAACAGCAGCAGCAGCTGCAGCTGCAGCAGCAGCAGCAGCAGCAGCAGCCTGCTGTGACGGAGGGCGTCGACGCGAACTCCTCGATCGGTCGCGCGAAGGGTAGCAGGGGCTCAGCCACCCACGAAGGGTTGGCAACGAGACGAACTGTGCGCGATGATAATAATAGTAGTTTATGTTGCTGCATGTGCGGTTCTCTATGTCCTGCAGAGTGCCACGCGTGCTTCCACATCGTGTGCTCGGACTACAGCGGCCAGCACCTGTGCAAATGGACTACCAAGGGTCACGCGCTACCGGGCCAGGTTCACGACAAGGACAAGGTCAGTAAGCCAGTGCTTCCTCGTTACGTTACGAATGATGTACCGTTCGTTCGCATTAATTATACTTGAGTTGCGCTCATGTCTTTCAATATCTTTCATTTTTCTTTGAAGTGATCTCTTTGCTGAACAGTAAAACGAATCTTATTAGGATACATTGCAATATGAGTTATAGTCACATTTTGAAAAATATTATATAATGTTTAAAGAATTTGTGAAAATTTTTAACGTGAAATCTTTAGTTGTATTATACTAGAATGTCAAAAAAGTTCTGAATTATCCTTCGGTTTTTGCATATAGATTTATTCAGAAATAATAACAATTGTTCTGTAACCTTCAAGTGGATAGGTGAGATAGCCGTATATAATTTTCTTAAAAACCTTGAAAAAGAACTTTTACAAACTCTGAAAAAGGAAAAAAGAGAATTATTCAAAAGTTTTTAAGTATATATTTCTCTATTTCATAAAGGAATAACTAATGTAAATTCAATTATAACATGATATATTATATTAGGAAATGTAACTGTAAAATTAAAAAAGTTTTAGGATGTACTGAGCATCCCACCTACCAATTTATATCTTTAGACTATCTATCTACTTTAGAGATTAAAATAAAGATTATCATGTTCAATAATCATTCGCTACCAGTTTCTTAGCTGTTAGATTTTATCTCGATACCATTTATCTAGATGATATCGAGATATACCTTAATACCCGACAGTTCTGATTTTGCACCGTTTGACTTAGTCAAACTCCTGTTTTATTAATTATAGGTAAATGAAGCTTTTCTTGCGAAGACGATGATTCGAAACTGTTCAGCAAGTTAAGGTAGCTTGTCGTGAATTCTTCGCATGTAGGAGTATACGATAGACAAAATGTTGGTCGGTTATTGTATCGTTTATAACATCCAATATATGTAACCACCAATGTATGTAACCACGCATATGGATATGACATAATTTTAATTATTTTTTGTAACAGTCGGCTTTGTCTACCATATGCTTTTGCTCTAAAAAATTCAAACGGTATCGATATCAAATTCGGTAACTACACTGAAAAAAAAGAGTCTAATAATAGCTACCAAATTGTTGAATGAAATAATTTCAATCAAATGTTCGGTTAACTAAAATTATTAGTCTACTACTGTGATAAAAAAATTATATTACGTAACAAGTTTTTTGCATTTTTATCATGGAAGATTGTTTTATAATAAAAAGAATGCGGTGCATACAAATACCTCAAAAATTATCTTTCATGTAAGATTTCCAAAAAAAAGGAGTTGAAACGCCCCAAAAATGTGTTTTTTTGATCATTTTCATAAATTCATAATGCATAATCCAGATATTCCAGCAACTTTAGAAAAGTAACATTGAAGTTTGGACTTTTATATCTTTCAATTTAATTTAAAAAGATAAAAACAAAATGTAATTCGTAAAAGTCATATACATTCAGATTTACACTAATTTACTCCTATATGGCAGTCATATTGGATCTGTCGTTCCGAATTTTTAAAATCTGACTTCAGATTCGACCTATAAAATATAGAATTGTAATTTCACAAGAATCCGTCAGGTAGAAAAATGTGACCCTCAAAGAGTCAATAAAATCAAAAATAATTTTACTTTTGTAAATATTTAGTATTATCAAACATAATAATATAATCAAATGTTTGATATTAATTATTAAATATTTAGAAAAGTAAAATTATTTTTCGTTAATCAAATATTTGATAATTATTTCCAAACTCGTTTTTCAATGTAGCAGACTGCTGATGAATGACTATCGAACATGATTTATTTTGAGGAAATGTTTCTGAATAACTTTTTATACAAAAATTGTTTTTATGCATATTGAAAGATAATTTTTTTGATAACCTAGTATATATATCTCTTTGTTTTTATTAATATATTTAATATTTTACAGCATAGACCGATTTATTTATAACTTATACTTTTTGTACATAAGCAGATTCTGTGACGCTTTTAAACCAATTGAATTATCTTTCGCGCATGCACTATCACAATTTGGCGAAATAAAAACGTGCAGAATCCTCGCGCGATATTCAAGGCAAAGTACATAACATTTAACAATGAAAATCGGACATCGAAACTTCATCTGTATCGAGACACCACATAGCACGTGAAAGTATCAAGCTCGGAAACTCAAAATTAATACTTTTTGTGATAAGAATTTATTATGTTTCAACGGTGATTGATGCATTATAAAATGCAGAAAATCTTGACGTGCCATTCTGCACATAAAATCGATGATGCGCAAAGCATTTTTTATTGTAACATGAGATTTTATTTTCTTCCGTTTTATTTTCGATGAATGTGTTTGTGTTTTTTTTTTACTGTGTTTAATTTTTAAGTAAACAAAATTATGAAGAAACTTTTTATATTATTATGATAAAGTCTTGCATTTTTTTGCGATTAAATTAATATAATTTATAATAAATAATTGCTCCCCCCCCAAATAAAATAGCGATTTCGACGCCTTGATGTAAAAAGAAATTTATTCCTATTCGAATCACTGATATTTATATAAGTGTAAGATTTAGACACATATTTTTCGACCATGAAAGAGAAAAACATCTAGGGATATAAATTTTATATCTATTGTAATCATGAATTCTACATAAACGTACAAATGGTATGTGCGTTATCAGGGCGAGACCTGCTTGAAATTCGATAGCGTAACGACCTAAATTCGACGGCGTCTGCCATGAAATTATGATAGGTGAAAAAAAGATAAAAAAAGGGATTTGAATGTCATTTCTTCTTTTGTAAAAGCTGATAACATAAGTTATCCGAGTTAAAAGCATAAAATATCCGAGTTAAAACTGCGCGTTCTTGTTAACACAAGGCGAAAATAAAATTAATTATTAAGATTTAAAATTAAAGTTTAATTTAAAATATTATATATATTTCATGATAATAATACATATAATGCAATGTAATACGAGATATAAGAGTGTGGTAATTCATCGAAAACTTTCTGCTCTAATATCAATTTCTTGTAAGAATATACATAAAAGAAATAATATGAATTTAATGATTTTTTTAAACTATACGTAACTATATGTTACGTATATAATTGCATCTTTTTTATTTTACCAATGGAATGAAAATCAATAGGTGAAAGCTATAATGAAATAAATCATCTAAACGCTGGAAGCAATAAATTACATTTTATGTCTTTTAACTATCACAATTTAAGAAAACTGAAATAGACTTCCGTAATGGCAATCTATGATTTACGGATGACTGAACAGATTAAGTGGAGTAAATCTAATGTATTTATGTCTAATTGCAGCACGAGAGTCATTACAACGGACAATGTTATAAGTCAATATTCGTACAAGTCTTAAATTTTATTCTTTCAATGAAATTTAATGAGTTAAATAAAACAATTATAATTGTAATTTGAAATAGAACCCCGAAGGGAAACTAACTAATTAAATATAAAGAATTTCTATTTTAAATATAAAAATAATTTTTAGTGCATTCTTGTCATCGGAATGTTGATTCGTTGTGATTGCAGGTCCGTGGAAAAACTTTTAATTGAATTTTTACAAAATTGATAGGCATTGGATTATCCACAACTTGTTCACATTTGTCCATAAGTAAAATAATTTTTATCCACTCTGCAGAAAGAATTTATAAATATAAACAACAGAATTAAATACTCCTAAATATTTTTTTTCATTACACACAGAATTCAAGTGTCCACGATTTATCCGTATTTATTTCCTTATAAATATTTGTTTCTTATTTATCCTGTAAAAATAAATTATAAACAAACAGGAGTAAAGTCCCCTATTATGAGATAGGCGCTTAAGATGAGATAGCGGCGTTTCTGCTAATAACTAATAAACGCTAATAAACGCTATCTAACTAATAAACGCTATCTATTGGTCCATGAATTTATTGCTCTTGGATTGAAAACTATTTAGTAGAAAATTCATTATTAGATCATGCTTGTAGTCATTGTAAAACAAGATTTTAGAATTTGGATGTCTTCAAGTTTCATTGAGCATTTAAACCTTGTTTATTATTTAAAAATAAATATTTAGCAATAAATTCTTCACATAGTGATAGAGTAAAGTACTAATAGAAAAATATATTGAATTGTTTAATTACAAAAGAGTTAGATTTGATCGTAAAACCATAAGACGTGGAAATCGTAATAGATACTCAGGTTATTCTTAATATGAAATAATCCATGTTTCTATGTTATAGTGAAAATCGTTGCTAAAGTATAAATATTATTGTATAATAATAAAAAAGATAACCGGAATGAACGTTGAATGTCTATATCTGCGATACTTGATTCCAACTATCTGAAAACGAGTTCTGGGTATAATCTATCGCGTGCTCATTTTTCGTGCACGCTGGCTGTATTTGTTTATATTTTAGAAACATTAAATCAAGTTTTTTAATTGCAATACTGATATACTTTGCGTTTTACTATTGATTTCTCGAGGCATCTCATATTAGAAGCACAATTTTTGCGATTTGCTCATTTTTTACATTTCTTTAATTTCCAAAAAAAAATGGAATTTGAATTAAATTTTATGTAACGTTAGCTTAAAGTTTAAATTCCCTCAAAATAACCTATTATTTTTTTAAATTCTGCCTAGAGACTTCTAGCATTTACCTAAAATAAACTCGATATCTCATAATAGGGGCCTTTCCTCTATATATTGAGAGCAAATTTTGATAGAGATACTCAAAGGTGTGTATCTTCAAATTACATATCGAATTTGAACGTTCACAATTTGTCTGTATTATCCAAAATTATCTGTAAATAATTGTTTGTTGACTACCTTACAAAAAGAATTATAAACAAAAAAATGGCACAAATTTTTTCACAAGTATCTCTAAATTTATTTTTTAATGTAATTTACGAACAACAAATGCGGACAAATTGTGGACAGAATCGAATTCCGGATGTAAAAAAAAAAAACACTTACTCAACTCTTTTATATATTTATAAAACTCTTTTGTATATTTATTTTTTGCAGTGTGGACAAAAAATTGTTTGTAAATAAGTTTATAATCGAATCATGTCAATAATCGAATGCCATATCAATTTTATATATATAAAAATTTGTATTTAAGAGTACAAACTTTACAGACTTTGTAATAACAATATTTTTGGTCACACGTCTGATTTTAGATAGATGTGCAGCATCAATCGTTACAAAAACCTCTTCGAAGAAAAGGCATTTTATAAACGTCTCCATATCGCGGCAGGATTTCCGTCGCAGAGATGACGATTTCCGCGAAATAAGTTACCCGTAGCGAGGCATCCTAGATTAACGGGTTGAGTCGCAAAAATTCGCGACGTCGGCGATTTAATTCTCACGCCGCCCGGTGTCGGTGGGATGTAGCGTGTGCGGTGGTGAGGAAGAAACGGTCTTCTCGACGGAGATTAATCGAGCGCGTCGATCGGACGAACGGACGGATGCGCGCGGATGTAACACGCGCTGCCGGCTGGCGTGGATTATTCGGACGGGAACGACACAGGCGAGAGCTTATCTCACGGCTGTCGTCATATCGCGGACTCGGGGTTACGGCGAGAGGTTACGTTTTCTTTTTTCCGCACTTTTTACGCTTTTGCTTTATCGGACCCTCGCTACCCGATAGCAACGGCTGGAGGCACACGGAGATGTCTCTTCTCTTCTCTTCGCGTCACCTTATCCCACCTCCGTCCCGCCGCGCTTCCGATCGCGCCTCGATTTATTTATCTAATCGGACCTGGCCGGTCGCGTAGTGCGTTAAGTGCTCGACGAACGACGCGCCTTATCTTCGAGATCGAGAAAATCCGGAGACGCTTCTCGCGCGTGGTTTTTACGTAATCCTCGCGCGATCGACACCGGATAACAGCACTTGTCCAGACCGAGAATAGAGTTGTATGTGAAAAAAAATTCTAGCTAAATGTATAATTCTTCTTTTTTGTTGCTTTTTTTAAATTTACGTAATAATGAAATACGTGTAGATGTTACACACGTATGCATTAAATAATCGTTAACTGAAAGTCATAATTATTAATCATAGAATGGTTAATATGGAGATTAATATGGAAATATTGATACGATGGAAATATTATAATTGTATGATGGTACAGCTGTTTTTTGTTATCATCAAGGATTTAACTCAATAATTAAATTATTGATGATATTTGAATCTTTCATTCAATTAAAATCGATGGAAATTTTACGTTAATAGACTGATATAAATTATGTTCTTTTATTTGTTTCTAATTTTTGTTTTTTATCTATTATAGATAAATATGTAAATATATTTTTAATGTGATTCTCAGAGAAAGTTTTATATAAAGAATAATTTGGGAAATTTCTCAAATAAACTGCAATGCTATTTTGTGATTATAGCAGTTAGTTTTTTAATCAATTAATCGCATAACGATGTGGAAAAATACGATTAGGTGTTCTCTAGAGTTCGCCATAATAGAGATAACCTGTATCATATAATCGAACCATAACTATGTCGAATATACACATAAAAACAAATTAAATGTTTCAATTAAACTTTTTTTAAAATTGATAGATTTATTGTATTATTAATAGAGGAAATTATAAAAACTACTATGACTACTAACTATGAAATTCGTTAAAATGTCTGAAATACAGACATCTTAATTGTGAATCGGGAGCTTATCTTTACCTGATAATGTAATAACAATTAGCAATTTTATTAGATATTATATAATGTTATAAAATACCACTGCAAAAGATTATTAGATTATTATTTATAAAAATATATCATCCGTTAATTAATAGAGAATGTTGATAATCTCTGAAAGCACAGTACTCGGTTAAATTGAATTGCTTCTTATTGGAGGAGGGGAAACTAGAATATCTGGAATCAAACGTATATCTACCTTAGAAGAAATTTATCTTATTTTATTCCGACTTTCACTCTTTCAGTTCAATCAATTAAGAAGAAACGATTATCTCAATTGACTGTATGAATCGTAAAAATTCTGTAAAGCGATTCACAATTGAAGTCACAATTTAGAAAGAAATTAATATCATTGTGGTAACGAAAAGACAAAAATTCTAATAGATTGTGACGATGCTGAAGATCATGCATTTTTATTTTAAAATCTCGAGGATAATAAGCGCGTGATCTGACTGGCAAACGAGACGATTCTTTGCTTATTATCTGCTTCCGCTTGCAAAGAATCGATTAATTATGTGCGTGTTTAAAAGGATTTTACACGATTTATTGTTAATGATACTCTCGGATTATATTTTTATCCATTGTCAAAAGTAAGATTATAATATATCTGATAGTTATATTTAACCATTTTAATACATTACTTCTAACGAGATATAAATACATGCATGACATTTAATATAATTGGAAATGAATCAAGTAATTAAGAGAAGCCGCTAACTATGATCAAAGTTAGATGAAATAATATTTCTACACAGACATATTTTACATTTATTTTAGATATACGACTACGCCGATTACTTTCGACTTGCAACACAATCAACTGAAATAATAACAAAATCCATATAAAAATATTATTTCAACATCTAACTTCGATTATAATTGGCGGTTTTCTTACTTCTAGTTAATTTATTCATATATTGGGGTCTTATTCTCTAACTTATTAATTTGAGATGAATTTTACTTTCATAAAATATCAATCTGAAGTATATTATAAATATATTTGACACTCAAAATTGAAAGGTCGCTCAAAATTGAAAAATGATAAAAAATCATTTTTACAAAATTATATATGCTTCGTTTATACAAAATTATACCAGTAATTTTCGAAGTCAGATATTTTTAATATATAGAATACGTGATCGTAATTATAATGGAAATCATTTTATTAAAAGATTATTACGTTGTTGCCTCATTTGTCAGCTCTACTTTGCTTTAATTAATTTTTTTCATCATTCACGTGATCTAACCGGGATTAGCAAATAGCAAGGCATATAAATATGCCTCGAAGTGTACGCGTGTGTGCGTACACGTGCTTCCTCGTGCGCAAGTGGACTTGGCTCGATTAGTCGTCGTTGATTCTTGTGCCATCGATGCCCACCTACGATTTATGTCTCGTTTCTCTGTTCACAGCCTGTCAGTGAGTGGACGTCGCTGAACGTAGTTGAATGGATGTCAGCCCTAAATCTATACCGCTATGCGGACGTCTTCAAATCGAAGGACATTAAAGGCAGCGATCTGCTTCATCTGGATCGGGAAAAGCTCATGGTAAGCCGATCATCTTAATTAGTTATTAGCATACCGGTCGTTCATATATCTCGGATTAAGATAACTAATGCCATTCAGTGGACTGAGAACCGCCTTGAACGAAGGAACTTCAAATGTGGGACATTCATGATTATTACTATTAAATTATTATAATCAAGATAATTTTTGTTTTATTAGTAAATCATACTCTTTATTCTACTTTTACTATAATACAATAATTATGATAATAATAAGTAAATTATAATGATTTAATTTAATGAATGATAGACATCAAACGAAGTAGGGTAATATCGTAAAGTTATTATAACATATTCTACTTAACTTCGTTTTTTTTACAAGATCATTGCACCGATCATTTGGAAGCGATACGATGTATAATATCAATTAAAAATATGATATCTCCATGTACTCATAAAGTGATTAAATATAATTTTGATTGAAAATCAAAAATCACAAATTAAAGTAATCTCTATTTAAAAAAATTGATTTTTCTTTCAATAGTTTTTTTTCTAAATCTGCGAACTACAATGAAATAGTGAAACTAAATCGATTCCTACGTGACTATTATTAATCTCGAAACAGTTATCGATTTAATAAGCGATAATGCACTCTCCTCATTTCGTAAGTTTATCATCGACAGCAAATTACTTTATTATGATATTTTTTTCGAATTTACTGACAATTCTAAAAATATCGGCGGTATGATAGGTTTTGCTATGATAGCCAATCATTTTCTTCTTGATCAATTAATCTTTTCCCATTAATCAGCCATGGTTTAGTTTAGAGAAATGTGATTGTAGCTTATACGGGATGCTTATTAGAACTAATTAGCAATAAGAATTAATGTACTGTAATAGTACCATATCAAGCTACTAAGCAAATCGATTGCGTGGAAGACTGTTCATTTATTTTATTATCGAACGGAGAGATTTCTGTTCGGAGAAACTATTTGGCGAATCAAGCGATTTAACGGGGGGTTATACGTTTTTTGCGATGTGCATTAAAGCTAGTCACATTTTCCGTAACAGTAAGGTTTTCGACTAATTGCGTTGCTCGATTCGGTCGTCCGTAACCGTAACCGTAAGAATCGAGCAACGCAATTGATCGAAAATCTTACTATTATTGTTACGGAAAGTGTGTGTGACTAGCTTAACGCACAATCACGAGGTCGAATCGTGCAAAAAGTGCAAATTAAGTTCCTTGCATTTTCGTGTCCCATTTGATTGAAATTTAATTCTGCGACAAACAATCGTCAGCAATCTGTTCTGAGCTATATTCCTACTTTTAGAATGCGCACATATTCAAATTCTTCAGGTTTAAATTTGATATATATTGCTATATATATATATATTAGGTGTTGGAATTAATTCGTAGCGTTTT